TTTAGGGTACCCCCAAAAGGGACCATCATTTTGACAACTACCCATGTATACAGCCGTGTACAGAACAAAGAAAGACTAAGAGATACAGAGAGAGCGAGAGGGAGGGAGAGGGAGGGAATTGTGCCGGAGCTCTTGGGCTCCATCGGCTTCCCAGTCGATGCTGGACATGCAAATGCTGCAGAGTTGAAGCGGCTACGTCGCGTCTTTACAACATCGCACATCGAAGAACTTCCATGTTTAAAAAGCATCCCGCGGATGACCTCTTGCCACACATCTGGCCGTTTTCCGTGCGCTTTTGAAAACTCAGCGCCGACGTCTCTTCTTCAGCCTCCGGCATGGAAGAAGATCTCTGTGCAGCGACATTGGATCGCCGTGACGGGATGTCATGTATCCTCTTCAGCCGTCAGCTTTAAAGAAGATCTCTGTATAGCGATAATTATGGTGGATCGCTGTCACTACAGTTCAAAATGTGCAGTCTGCTACAGAACTGCCTGTAACTCAAGCATTCTACTTGCGGTTCTGGTGTACTTCTCGTAGACTCAGAACCAATGCTTCCTTTTCATCCTCCAGATAAGCTCAGCTTGCGGGATGTGGGACTCCAATAGAACCCCCAGCCATAGGCTGATTGTTACAGGGACCGTAGCTGTCGCGAGTAAAGACAATCTCCAATCCATAGTGTACAGTAGGGGTTTTGTTTATGGTTTACAGGGCCTTGGGCCGGATGTCACAAGGAGCATCAGTCTTGAAAAGCTGTGATTGAATCTTCCTTCACTTTGGAAGTATCTTCACAACGATGCTGGCTCGCTGCCCATTGAGCAAAAAGTTCAAAAGCGATACACCATCAGACACGGCATTCATTTCGCCGGCTGGGCCTCCACGCAAATTTTTCGGCGGCCGAGGTTGATCTGCCTCACGTTGGTGTTGACTTTCAATGCCTCCAATAAGGCTTCTGCCCCTTCATCCCCAATGCAAGAGTTGCCTTCGAGGCCGATCTGCTCTAGAGTCATGTTCACTTCTAGAGCCCCGGCCAATGCCCCAGCACCGTCATCACCGATCCTGTTCCAGTCTAGATGCATCTGTTTCAAGGTGTTGTTTGCCTTCAATGCCTCGGCAAAGGCCGTAGCCCCCACATCACCAATGTTGCCCCTGTCGAGCCGTATCTGCCTCACGGTTCTGTTCAGTTTCAAGGCATTGCCCAAGGCTACTGCACCCTGATCACCAATGCGACTTCCGCTAACGCTGATCTGTTCCATAGTCTTGGTTCGGCAGAGTGACTCAGACAAGGCGATAGCCTCTGCATCACCAAACTTAATTCCGTCAAACTGGATCTGCGTCACGACGCTGTTGACCTTTAACGCATGAGCCAAGGCCATAGCCCCATCATTACCGATGTTCTTGCAAGCAAGTTGGACATGCTTCGGTGCTGTTGACCGTCAACATATCGGCAAACGCCCTGGCGCCAGCATCACCAATGTTGCTGGAGACGATGGCGAAATGCTGCACGGTTCTGTTGGCTCTCAATGCCTCGGTAAGGGCCGAGGCCCCTGCATCACCCATCTCGTCGGCATGGATGTGGAAGTGCTCCACGGTCTTGTTGACTGTCAAAACCTCGGCCAACGCCGCAGCTCTGGTGTCATCAATCTGACCGGAGTCCACCTGCACCTGCTTCACAACACTGTTATTCTTCAGAGCCTCAACAAAGGATGCAACACCGGATGGACTCATGGGACCTCGAACGCTGATCGCCTCCACCGTGCTCTGCTCTGCCAACGCCTCGACCAAGACAGCAGACAAAGTCTCACAAACATCCTTGAAATCCAGCGCGATCTTCCTGACGGCCTTGTTCTCAAAGCATGCGCTGGCCAAGACTCTAGTGTAGGGTTTGGTCTGAATGAAAGAAACATTGATGCGCTTCACGGCCCTGTTCACGAAGAAAGCCCTGGTCAAAGCTGCAGCGCCAGTGCCACCACAGTCAACCAAATCCGTCTCTATCTGCTGCAAGGTGCTGTTAGCTTGTAAAGCATCAGCCAAGGCCACAGCCCCGGCATCACCAATGTCGTTTGCTGGCATCCGGATGTGTTTCACAGTCTTGTTGACTTTCAACGCCTCAGCCAGAGCTGCAGCTCCGGCATCGCCGACCTTTGTATTCTCAAGCTGGATCTGTGTCACGCTGCTGTTGCCCATCAATGCCTTTGCAAAGGCTGCAACTCCGGAATGACCAACGGGACCATGAATGTTGATCGCCTTCACTGTGCTGTTCTCTGCCAATGCCTCGACCAGGACTGCAGAGCCAGTCTGAGAAACTTGCTTGAAATCCAGCTCGATTTTCTTCACGCCGTCGTTCTCAAAACATGCACTGGCCAAGACTGCGATGTTGGCATTGTCAATCTTTACGAAGGAGGCCTTGATTTGCTTGACAGTCTGGTTGACAAAGAACGCACTGGTCAAGCTTGCAGCCCCAGCATTACTACCATCAATGAAGTCAATGTCGATATTCTCAACAGCGCTGTTCACTCTTAATGCTTCGGCGAAGGCCGTAGCGCCACCATCACCAATAACATTGCGAGCAAAACGCACATGCTTGAGGATGCTGTTACTCTTCAGTGCACCTGCAAAAGCTGCAGCACCAGCATCACCAACCTGGTTTGCGTTCAAGCGGATATGCTCAACGGTCTTGTTGACTTTTAACGCCTCAGCCAGAGCTGCAGCTCCGGCATCGCCGACCTTTGTATTCTCAAGCTGGATCTGTGTCACGCTGCTGTTGCCCATCAATGCCTTTGCAAAGGCTGCAACTCCGGAATGACCAACGGGACCATGAATGTTGATCGCCTTCACTGTGCTGTTCTCTGCCAATGCCTCGACCAGGACTGCAGAGCCAGTTTGAGAAACTTGCTTGAAATCCAGCTCGATTTTCTTCACGCAGTCGTTCTCAAAACGTGCGCTGGCCAAGGCTGTGGCCTGGGCATTAACAACCTTTACGAAGGAAACCTTCATTGTCTCCACAGTCTTGCTGACAAAGAACGCCCTTGTCAAGCTTGCAGCCCCAGCACTACTGCCTTCCACGAAGTCAATGTCTATGTCCTCAATAGTGCTATTCACTTGCACTGCCTCGGCGAAGGCCGTAGCACCATCATCACCGATACTATTGCGGGCAAACTGCACAACTTTGAGGATGCTGTTACTTTTGAGTGCACCTGCGAAAGCTGCAGCACCAGCATCACCAATGTCGTTTGCATCCAAACGGATATGCTCCACACTCTTGTTGACTGTCAACGCCTCAGCCAGAGCCGCAGCTCCGTCATCACCGACCGCATTGTTCTCGAGGTTTATCTTTTTCACAGTCTTGTTAATCTTCAATGCCTTGGCAAACGCCATGGCCCCAGAAACACCGAAGGTGCCGCCGATGGAAACATACTCCACGGTGTCATTAACCTTCAATGCCTCAGCCAAGGTGGCAGCCTCTTCATCAGTGATGCCATGGTAGAGCGTGATCTTCTCTCGCAGAACTTCGGACTTAGACAGGACCGCTTGGGCCGTTGCAGTATCCTCAAGGATGATCCGCAACAATGATACCTGCCACGATCGGTTGTTGGAGTAGCTTAAGGCAAAGTCCAAACTTCTCGCTATTGAAGTCGATGTAGAACTCCGGAGGAGCCGCTTGAATAGCAGGGCAAAGAGCAATTGCGCCAGTGGTACGATGATCTGGAGGACTACGACAAACGGAGACCCTCCCTCCAAGCGTAGATAGGCAATTGCTGCCAAGCCCTGCGCGCCGGACTCCCATGCCAATAGCCTCACTTTCCCCTGAGATGTCTGCTTGTAGAGTCCATATAAGAACACCTCTACACTGGCCGAGATGAAATCTGCAATCCTGTTGTCAGAGGTTGCTTCCGGCACCGTCGCCCTCTGCACCGTCGGAGCGGCCTGAAGAAGTGTTGGATGGGTGGTTGGTGCAATACTGGTGTTCTTCTCCGTTTCTGCCCTTGTCGGGGCGCTGTCGAACGGAAAATAGCTTGCGGACAGATGACTCGCACAATGTTCATCCCGAAGAAGCCATGCATAGATGACGGGCAACCATATCCAACTCGCAACTCCCACTATCTTCAGACACCAGTGCTCTGACATGAAGCATAATCCAGCGAAAATGATATCTTTCAATGTATCAAAGCTGTCTGCTACAAAGGGTGCCATTGCAGAAATGCTACCCAGCGTGAACGTGCTGCTCGGGTAGCGACCAAACTGTCCCGTCACCACACAGGCCTGCCAGAGGAGCTTCAAGCCTGCAGCACCAGCAGAATGAGGTACACCTCGTAGTCTAGTCCATCGGCTTTGGACAGCCTACCAGTCATCAAGCTAGCGCCAACCACAAACAAAGAAACGAAATATGTTTGGATGAAGGCCGTCGTGATTTGGGTCCTTCCAATTTCTGGCCTTTTCTTCTCCGACCATGCCGATGCCGAAATATCTTTGAAGGTCTGCATTTGAGGGAAGCGTTCTTGAACTTCTGACATCCTAGAATAGGCCGAAGCGCCACAACCGAAGCACCGTGTCATTAAGAAAGTGCCCACAAGGCAGATGGCCAACCAGGCTGCCAGAAGCAGTGCAATGAAAAAATGCATTCTCTCCGTCCGTTCTTTGGACGAAAGCTCTGGCAACTCCTGTGTTGTAGGGAGCCACTTTGGGTTCTCCGCAACTGCCGTTGGCGCGTGCGCATGGAACTCCAAATCACCTGCCACGTTGAATGAAAATCCCAGGGTTCCGTCGTGCAGCGTGGTGTTCACACCTGCCAACGGCACGTTGAGATCAACTAGCTTGTCAGTATCTTCCACCTAGGATCAGGTTGTTGAACATAGGCACAAACGCGAGCATCGCAAAGTGCATCATGGCTCGATGCTGTGGTATTCTTCGAAGGAGCCTGGCTCCTAAAGCTATGCAGGAACGAAGACGGACAGAATGAAGCTTCGTCAAGTTAGTCGTCTGGCTCTCACTCCGACACAAGGAAAGAACGACATAGAACGACTTCCCAGTCCTGTTCCACAGAGCCGAGGCTGCTTGTGCGAGCTTCGTAACGTCAGACCTTTACCCATAAGGGAAGCGTCCAGCGATCTTTGGGTTCCATGACATAGAAGCTTGCCTTCATGTGTGAAGTTTGTCCCTAGCTCCTCCAAGCTGGAAGTGGTTCCTCTGAACGAACATCTTCGCACACACATTTTGACATCGATCTAGATTTTCAGCATAATATACCCCAAAACCCTATTCTAATTATTAAGGCCCCTGCATTATAGAACCCCTTATAGTACGACTCACATCCCGTTTTGTGGTCCAGCTGAACTCTGAAGGTGCAGCCGCAGGGAAGCCCCAAGTTACACGCCTGCTTAGCCCTGACGTTCAACAAGAAGTCTTGACCGGTTTAGGGTATAGGGTTTAGGGTGTAGGGTGTAGGGTGCAGGGTTTAGGGTTTAGGGTTTTGGGATTTCCCTTGCACAAGTGGAAAAATCCTAAGCCCTAAGACTTCAGAAGCTGCTTCTGCAGCGGTTGGAGACGAGTTTGAGGCACCATTGCAGCAGACTGCGACTGGGCGGACCTTTTTGTCGGGCCGCGCGGTTTGAATCTCCAGGCGCGAAGCCTTCTCCAAACTTTGGAGAAGGCTTCGCAGCTTCGCTTTCAGAGCCTTCAACTTGACTCAAGAGTCCGAATCTTACGTGAAACGTGACCAACTTTCCCAGCCAACGGCCTGTAACCCCTGAACCCTAAACCCTTGACCCTAGACCCACAGTTCCCACATGGCCCTGCCAGAGCTCACCATGTGTCTGCCTTCCGCGGTACTTTCCCACGCAACTCTTTCACAGTGGTGAGCACGGTCCAGCCTGGGCAAGAAGGATTTACGATGACTCGGGGCTGACAGCAAAGGCTATTGTTGGCCATCATGTACACCCTCGTTGCCAAAGCCCGGAGCCTGGAGCCTGTTTCCAAGCCCGCTGACGCCAAAACGGAATGCCGACCCTTCCAAGCCCGTAGTGCAAACCTTTATTGCGGGAACCGGCAGGGTTTAGGGTTTAGGGTCCCTTGCATCCTGGGCTTCTGTGCAGAGCGGCACAGTGGCAGGAGCACTGGCCCCAAAGAGGGGCTTTCCAGAGATCCAGCCCATCTACCGGTTTAGGGTTTAGGGGTTTAGGAATTTAGGGTTTAGGGTTTCGCGTCGCACTGCTGCGGCGTGAACGGAAGCCCTTGGGCCCTCACATCCAGCAGACTCTGGGAAAACGTGCCATCGTCGATTCGCTCAGCCGCAAGGTGCAGCGCAATCTCACCTCGGATCCAGGAGCGGATAGTAAGCTACTTTTCTAATTGTTATTGCTATTATTCTTACTATTACTATTACTGTTGCTATTGTTGTTGTTATTGTTTTTAATTGTTATTTCTGAGAGTTGAGACTGCTCGGTCTAATCCGTCTTACTTGGTACAATCGGTTTCCTCGGCTTCTCGCTCCCGAACGGGTCACGACGAGCACGACTGCCCACGTGTCCGGAACAACCGGCCGACCCCCTAAACCCTAAACCCTAAACCCTAAACCCTAAACCCTAAACCCTGAGGACCGGGCAGAGGTTGTCCTTCACGTTCACGCCCTGCTTCGGACGGGACAGGATGGGGTGCCAGAAACAAGCATGCCAGGCAGAAATATGGCACCGGTCCTAATGTACTCGGTTTAGGGTTTAGGGTTTAGGGTTTAGGGTGTGCATGTGCTGTCCAAAAAAAGTCAGACGGCCTTAACGGATGAGGCCTTTGCAGCCAGCAGAGTCGTGACATCTTCCTGGGCTGCTGCCAGGTGCAGCGGCATCTGACCTCGGGTCCGGGATTAGTTTCTTGCCTACGTCTCTGGCAACTCCGGCAGCTATCGATCGTTTTGGGGTTACGAGTCGGAGATCGAGCTGCTTAAGAGAATTTCACGAAATCCAGGCCCTGAACCCTAAACCATAAGCCCTAACCCTAAACCCTAACCCTAAACCCTAAATCCTAAACCCTAATTCCATAACCCCAGTGCTCGGAAAGCAAAGATGCTAGGACAAAAGGGCTCAAGGCCGTTTAGGGTAAAGGTTCCCATGCTTGGAACAATCGGTCTTCAGCGCCATACCGTATCTCAACCACCGGCCCTTGTCTAGCTCAAAACAACATGAACCCCAGCGCCTCTCTGCAAGCCTTTCTTGTGCTCTCGTTCTGCCAAGGCCTCCGAGGGTAGCGCTTTGCTGCGCAGCCTCGTCATGCGTTGCTTGAAGCATCTTGAAACTCATCATTTTGCCCAGCTAGGGTTCAGGGCCTAGGGTGCTAAGTGAAGCGGATGGCCAAATCACGAGAGCAGAGTAGAGCTTCGGTGTAGATTACAGTACAATGAAACAGGGACTGGGAGGGGACATTCTTCCGCAAAGCTTTTCACAGCAAGTCCGAGGGAGTCGGAAACAAGTGCAGGGAGACATGCCCATCCTGCAGCGGGCACGATGTCTCTGCACATCGATTGCTGTGAAACAGTGCAGTTTGCGCTTTTACAAGACAGACACTCTTGTCACCAGAACCCAAACAACGTCTTCAAATCATGCAGCAACCATGTCAAATGCCCAAACTTGCTAAGCTCGGCTGTCCTGAAGCTGCACTGGCTCTGAACATGCAGCTCCACAGACTGGGTTGCAGCTAGGTGCTTCATATGAGCCACTGCAAATGGCAACCGAGTCAAGTCAACATCGAACATGCACTTGATATCACAATGCCTCACAACCTCAACCCTAAACCCAAAACCCTAAACTCTAAGCCCTAAGCCCTAAACCCTAAGGTCATTCGCCATTGGTGCCCCTGGGGAGCGGCTGGTTGCCAAGCGATGCAGCAAGGTGCAGGTGCACACCGTCATGCTTGCAACCGCCCAGCTTGCACCAGCAGACGGAACATGCGCCACCCTTATGGGCAGAGTAGCAAGATCATCAAAGCATTCAAGCATGTCAAGAATTGGCAGCGCTTTTTGCGCGTTCCTGCGCTGTGTGTTTATAGATCCTTGCATAGTGCCAAGCCATGACAGAATAACCAGCCTTCATGAAATCCTGTGCCGTATATCCGGCAGTCTTGCATTCAAATAAGGAGAAGCCGGCAAGCACGCAACCTTTCAGTGAAATGCCAGACTCGCGAAATTGAGCTGCAGAATATCCAGCTGCAATACAATCCGACAAAGAAAAGCCCGCCTTCGAGCACTCTAAGACAGAAAAATCGCCGGCATATCCAGCTCTCCTGCCTTCCAACACAGAGAACCCGGCCTTGGCGCAGTCTTCCACAGACCAGCCTGCATTCCTACAGTCGGCTGCACTATAGCCTGCCGACTTGCATTCTTGCACTGCCTGGTAGCCAGCTACGGCACACTCCTTCAGGGTAAACTTTCCTTTCTTGCAGTCCTTCATTGAGAATCCGACACGCTTGCAAGTTGAGGCAGAATACCCGGACCGCCTGAAATCCAGTGCAGAGAAACCGGCCTCTTTGCAATCCTCATATGAAAACCCCTGCTGCTTGCATTCCTTGAGTGTAAACTTGGCCTCTCGAATCTCCAGCAGAGACAAGCCCACCTGCACGCAGTCTTTAACTGAGAAGCCTCCTTTCTTAAAGTCTTTGGCAGAGTAGCCACCAGACTGCAGACACTGCTGCAACGAGTATCCATGATCATGGCAATCCTTCAACGAAAAGCCAGCCTCGCTGCAATCCAACAGAGAATAGCCCGCTTCAACACAGTCCTTCGGCGAGAGACCTTCCTTCTTGCAATCGGTTGCGGAATACCCAGACTGCCGGCACTGATCCACAGAAAAACCTTGATCTGCGCAGGCCTTCAATGGAAAACCGCTTTGCTGGACCTGCTGCAAAGAAAAGCCGGCCTCGATGCAATCTCTCACTGAGAAGCCTGCTTTCTGAAACTCGCTTGCAGAATAGCCGGCAGCCTTGCAATCTCCAGGTGAGTAGCCAGCTTCTCTGCACTCCTGCAAGGGAAAACCAGCTTCCCTGCAGAACGTCGGGGAGATGCGTCTCTGCTGGCACGTGCTTGCGCTCAAATCAGACTTCACAATGCTGCGGGCTTCCTCTGAAAAGCCTGCTTCAAGAAGGTCTTCCAGAGAAAAGCCGGCGGCTAAGCAGTCTTTCGCTGAGACCTGCGCCTTCCGACAATCGCTTGCAGAGTAGCCAACCTGGCGACACTGTGCCAGTGAATGTTCGTGATGTTCCTGGCCTTTATCGTAGACCTCCACAAGGCCAAAGCCAGCTTGCTGCATGTCCTTCAAAGACAGGCCGGCCTGCCCGCAGTCTTTCGCTGAGAAGCCTTCGTCCCTAAAGTCTTGTGCGGAGTAGGCATCCCGCCCACACTGCTGGAACAAATATCCATGACTTAGACAATCCTTCAATGAAAAGCCAGCCTCCTTGCAATGCTTTACTGGCAAGCTTGCTTGATTCAAGTCCGCGGCAGAATACTGATACCCGGCTTCCTTACATGCCTTCAAGACGTCTTCGACCGACAGAAGTTGAGGTGCGGAGGACAAGGTCGAGACGGCCGGAAAACACCAGAGAAGCCCGGGGCGCCAGTGCTCTGTTCCCGTATACAGGCTGACAATGTCTTTCAGAGCAAAACCTGCTTCGCAACAGTCTTTGACAGTGAGCACCAGGCCTGCTGCGTAGCATTCCACTGCAGAAAACCCACCTTCCCGGGCGTTCTGGGCCGTCATGCTGCAACCCGATTCCAGGTACTGCTCCAGGGTGCATCCGTATTTTCGCAGATCATCACGTGCGAACCAGTCCTTCAAGACTGTGCCACCTTTTTCAATGTCGTGAGAGATGGTGAAGCCCTCTTTCTCTGCATCTGCGGGTGTTAGAACAACGCCTTCTTTCATGAAGTCCGGCATAGTGTAAACCTGCAGGTAACCTTAGCAGAAGGCTTTCCAATAACAAGCGAGTCTTAACACGGTTGGTCTTCCGTTGTCGATTCTGTGCGGTGGATATTTGCCTAAACGTTAAACTCTCTACATCTCTCCACCATCACCTCATAAGCGGTCCAAACAATCTGTCTCTGTTTCATCTTTTGCCCACGAACTTCCGGACCATCGCATGAAAAGCCATTATTGTTTACCGCTGACAAGCTTGACCAACAACCAGTCACCTGGTCTTAGCGATGCTTTCGAAAATAGCCTGGTAGCTTTGCCGGCTGAAGCCCAATTCCTTGATCGACTTGATGGGAACATCATGCTCCCTGTAGCGTCTTAGCAGGCTCACGATGACCAAGTCCTGCACTCAAAGCATGCAAGGTACTGTCAGAGCGCAGTAACCCTGACAACTCCCTAAACCTGGAAATCATGCACACTGTGTCTTAACTTGTGACAAATTGAAGCATGCGTCACAGAAACACACCTGACATGCTATGTACTGAGAAGCACGGGTAGCTAAACACACCAAAACACACGTTGTCAAGCAGTCCTCACAGAACAGAGAAGACTAGCTGGTGAACCTCTGTGGTGAAAGGCCCCCTAGAATCCTGGGTGAATGTACACTCGTGACCGTTGCTGTAGTCTAACTTGCGGCAGAGGGCGGAATCCTACACACGCAAGCCGATCAGGACTGGTCTAGGATGGCCTGAGATTTTCGGCTCTTCAGATTCTGTTCCTGCAATGAACGACATGCACCAGAAGCTCGTCTCAATAGCCAAGCAAGAGGAAAAGACTTGAACGTGAACAGAAACTCGTTCCAAGGGAGAGGCACCGGAGGTGCTGAGTGAGGCATCAAGCAGGGATGGAGACAGAGCGGGCTGGCGCAACATAGTCTGATCTCAGCAATGGGATAGCAGGCCGAAAGCATCGGGCACAATTGTCCAGCTCTGATGGGTGTAGAGACGAGCAAGAAGCCGCTGCAAAGGACAGCAGAAAGGGGTGGCCCTGAACAACATTTGCAGACAGCCCACACGACGACCTTCGACGGGTATCTAAGAGGGTTAGAACGGCAGCCTAGAGTAGCATCCTTGGGTCTAAACCCTAAACCCTAAACCCTAAACCCTAAACCCTAAACCCTAAACCCTAAACCCTAGTCAGAGAGTTATTCGGGTCAGAAGAACTGAAAGATGCACAGGACGCGGCGACCGTCACCCCTGGAAACCCATCCCTTCCTTCGCAGCCCTCCCGGGAGGCATAGAAGCCGAAATAACTAGCAATATTATTCCTCAGGGTTCCTTACTCTAACTATACTATAAAGGAGCCCGACTATACTATAAAGGAGCCCGAAACCCTTTTATAACTATTAAATTCAGATCACAGCACGAGCCTTAAAGGTCCGATCGCCATCTCCTGGCGCAGACTTCCGCAGGCTTCTTGACGAAAGCTCTTCGGGGGTTCAGAGAAGGGCTTCTGGACAGTTTAGGGTTTAGGGTTTAGGCGTCGGGAGTTTCGGGGATGTGATCGGGAAAGGGTTCCCGAATCCAGACACTCAAGTTTCGCAACGAAGAGACTAGAGGTCAAGCTTGCTGCTCGTGTGTTTCCTGATGCCCGGTCTCCTGTTGATTTCATGTCTAGGATCCAGTTGTCCAGGCGGTCGAAAAGGCTGTCAAACAACTCCACGCCGCGTCGCAAATGCAGGCCTGCAAACACCTCCTCGCCGATGACATCACACATCAGAACCATGTCCTTGAGTTGCTGCTCGACTTCTGACAACGGTCGTGCTTTCTGCTCGGCTTCCATGAAGAGGCGTGCGGAAAAAATCTCAGGCATATTGGCAATTGCCCACTCGGCTGCCTGAGACCTGTTGCTGTAAATCACAATCTGGCCGATTGCAATCAGGATGCCTTTCATGAAGCTCCACACAGCACTTACACCAGCGAAGCCCAAGCCATGTCCGTACCTGTAGCTGACGATGGCACCGAGTAGCCCTTGCGGAAAATCTTCTCCAACCGCGATCAGAAAGCGGGCAGAGCTCAGGAAGTCCACACAGAGTCCTGCGAACATGTTCGAGCACTTCCTGCTCAACCATTCGAAAAATGTTTCCGCATCAGTGGTTGCAGGGGGGTCTGCCGGTCGTCGCAAGGAGATGATGGGCCGGTATGACCTCTTCAGCTCGTTGCAGGTCTCTGGAAAATACGTGACCAGCCAATAGGAGTACACGATCGTGTAACTGGACACAACCGCCAGGCAACCCGCATCAGTCACCAACAAGATCCACTGTTGAACGAGCCAGGGACCAAATCCACGCGTTGCCCAGACTAGTGCAGGGAGAACCTGTATCTTCGCAAGCAGCGAGTTCAGGAAGCCGCCGAATGCCAGAAGATATTCCTAGGCTCTGCGGCAAGCAACCAACACTTACTGTTAAACCCCCTCGCGGTAACATGTAGAGTTTTCGGAAGAAAACGTGCATTTGCGCAGCCTTGGCTCCGAAACGTGAACCTTGCCGAGAACATAGCCAAGCAGAGCGGCAGCCAAGACCACCATAGTTAAAATGCCTATGCAGCCCATATCACCCGCTACTAGTTTCACCGCGTAAAACAGTAGCGGCAGACAGCAAAGGAAGGCAATGCCTTTGAAGGCAAGGCCTTCGCCTTGGGAAAGCAGAGTGACGGCCAAGACCAGCAGGAAAACCCCTACCCAGCCCAGGAATGCTGCCACCATCGTGATCGTCCCCAGCAGTAGCTGCAAACACCAAATAAAGGTGATAGCTGTAAAGACCAGGGCTTGCAGAGATACCACAGGTGGGCATATCTTTCCGATAGACCCCGTGATCTTGATCCCTGTGTTCCAAGCGTGAGCCCCGTATGCAAGCAACACATCTCCAAGAATCATGATGCCTCCTGTTACAAGCCCTGCAGGACTTTGTGTCGCAAGCACACACACACTCCGGTCACCACCCAATCTTTCATTGTGTCTGTGACTTCGCTCAGCAGTGGGACAGTGTAGAGGCACACTACCTTGAAAGTAGACGATTGCAGTGCTTCTGCTGGGAAACATACGCAGCGCACCAAGTTCTCCAGAAAAAGCGTCCACAAGCAAACTTGTTGCCAGACGGCCCACAACTCCCACGCCATGCCCCCACCCCCGACCGAAAGCCAGTCTTTTGCCACTGCCACACCCACGAGGGAGGCACAGAACGAATGATAGATGATCATCTGAAGCTTGAAGCCGACATTCGTCTTGTCTCCCATCGCACCCACACGAGAGACATCACGACTATCAACCCATGGCTTGGCTTTCGCATCTGCTTCTGGAACCATGCGGTAGCCCATCCACTGCGCAAGCGAGCGCTCGATGTGACTCCATAGATGCTTGGCGCCGAGGCTGAAGACCCGGCTAGCCTCACAGAGGAGTCCCATCAAGAAGGGGCTCAGCAATAGCCAGGCGCCCCAGTATCGCAACCTCTTGGCAGCCTCGTCTTCCCAGAGACTGCAAAACCCCTTATGGAGTTAAGGAATATACCATAAATCATAATAGTATCCCTAAGAAGATTCAAAAAAAATATCCCTCAAGCAAGGGGGCCTCATCTTCTGCGATCTCGCCTGACAAGGGCGGAAGCAGGCGCGGCGGCAGGTCGCACAGCAGCGGAGGGAACCCGTCGAGCGTGAGACGCCACTTGAAGAGGCACTTTTCGAAGGTCCACAGTATCACTCCAACAAGGTTCCTCAGCCAAGCTGGGGGCAGCCCTCTTTCAGGATTCAGTGCAGACACTGAACCGAGAGAAAGGAAGCCAAACAAAAAAAAAACGCCGCAGCAAGACCAAGCTTCGGAACGGGTGGCAGGAAGACGCCGCACGCGTCGCTCCCAGCAACTGGGACCCAGGAGAAGATCTCAGTCATGTTCTGCTCACGAGACTCTCTGACGATTCCCTAAGCCCTTAGAGCTTTGTTTAAAGGGTTTAGGGTTTAGGGCCAATATGCCCAAAAGGTGTCGCTGGTCGTGTCGTTTGCATACATGCTGGAATACTGAAGACACCGATCCAAGCTGCGTGCTTTGCACAGCTTCGAAAGCCAAAACGGCAGCAGCGTAAAGCTCAACTTGAGGGCAGTCGAAAGGGCAAGCAGCAAGCATCCAGCAAGACTGGCCGTAGCGCATACATGGTAAGAGCACAATCGCAAGAATTCAGTTTGTAGTCCAATGTCTCGAGTGTCCATAAACCCTAAACCCTAAACCCTAAATTCTAAACCCTAACCAACCCTAAATCCATAACCCCAGTGCCAATATCCAAGCCAAGTAGCTAACTTTACTGTCAATACACATCAGCGTGTAGGAGGCGGGCAAGCTGCAGCAGGCATGGCGGCAAAAGCAAACGAAATAGGCTTGCGGTTTCAGGGTCATGTTTCCTCCGCCGACTGTCCTAAAGTCACAGTTGCTGCTTGTTTAGTGGGGAATGGTTTTTGGATTTGGAGTTTAGCTCTTGGGACACAGACGAAGGTGGGAAGGAGAGATAGCATCGAAAACACAACGCAGGTAGCTTGGAATGTCACCGGATGGGTATTGAGCACACCAAACACGTCCAAAGCAGCACATCCACGAAAGAAACTACACTCTACAATCATGAACCCGTCACGGAAGCCTGGCAAGTCGCTACAGACAGGAGCCACTCAACGGAAGTCCGCATGTCGTTGATGGCTCGCCTGCTCGATGGGCACCAGGAGCTCGGGCCACACGCCACCTTGCTAGAAAGTTGCTACAAGTGAAGACAGGCAACACAAGGTGCTATCACAGATATGAAGAAGCAGAATAGTACCACAGCGACAAATCAGAGTAACCACAGCATTTCGGCTGTTGGCAGCGACGGCAACGGCGACGACGCCGACGAGGACTGCTGCTACTTGCCAAATCCTGGACTTAGAAGCCTTGGTTTAGGGTTTAGGGTTTAGGGTTAAGGCATCGGGATTTGCTGCCCTGAACTCTAAACCCTAAGCCCCAAACCCTTCAAGACCTTGGCAAGCGATTACTGAACCGAAGGCTTGAGAAGACCTTCGTGCTCAGCTGTTTCGATGAAAGCGGTGCAGTGCTGGACTAGCACGACAGTGGCAGTCTCCTGCCCATGCCCAAGGCAATGTTTCAAAAAGATCAGACGTCGTAGTAGTTGAGTTGAAGGACGACAGCTTTCAAACGACCCGTACAAAAATCAGAAGGGTTTAGGGTTTAGCGTCCAACTATCAGCTGGGGCTCCTAAGTACCACGGCAGCTATCTATGTTCCGTACATCGTGGACCGGGCGTCACTTTGCTACCACTTGTTGAACGGGTGACAGATGGGACGACATCATCAAGTAAACAAGCTTACCACACCAGTGGCGCGCATGATCCCAGAAGCAGATACAAGAGCAACAAACAGATGAACTTCAGAGAATTCGCTTCGGCCTCGGTTTCCTCCTGCCCACCACCGTCGCTGTCTCCCAGCCCCACCTGTAGATATGTACCCCGGCCTACTTGTCAATTGTCGTCTTGCGCGGTTTAGGGTTGGGGGTGCTGATGGGGCCCGACTGTGGAGACTACTCTTCACCCGCCACCGAACCAAGGCAGACGACGCGAAGCGTTGCGCTAAAGATCCTGCCTCCGGCTTTCAATAGAGCGGGGAGGTGCAATCAGCGCAGCAATCCATGGCGTCGGCAAGAAACACACAGCTTCCATACCGACAATGGAACTCAGACGCCTGAAAACCTCGAATCGGAAAACCGGGCCTAGCAAGAGCCAATCATCCTAAAACCATGCTGAACTGTTTAGGCTAGTCTTACCGTTTCGAGAGGATCCTCTACCATGGCTGCATGAACTGTCCTTCTCACAGGAACACGCCTATGTATTAGGAGCATAGATCTACAGTACTGTGTAGGGCTTAGGGTTAAGGGCTCAGCGTCAATCTACATGTCCACCGCTATGGCTGGGGCGTGGTCACAGGCAAACCTTGGACATGAGCCTACCATCTGCCCATGATTTCACGATCGGGCAACAGCAGCATGCTCCTCGCAAGCCAATCAGCAGCAGCAGTGATACTGGACACAATGTTAGCTGCTTTCGTACGTTCAGTCAGTTGCTTGATCACACGTCCCGACTGATGATTTTCAAGGTCGCACAGCGCCGTCGCAAAGTCAGAGCCATGGCACCGTGTCCCACAGACCGGCCGCGGACACCAGCAGCTCTGCGTCCGGAGAAGAGCTCTTCGTGGAGTACCGACCCGGCCTTTGACAACGATGGCCGTGGGACAGCGCGCACACGCAAGTCGGAGGATTCGCGCTGCACGCTTTGTGTGGCAGTGGAAGAGCGCAGGCCGAATCACGATAAGTCACGAAAACTTCACGGACATCATCGTAGGGCTCCAGCGCTCTCTGTGAGCCTGCCGTCGGCTGCACCGAAGACAGGCGGCCAACTGTGCAGAAGCCGGAAACTTACCTGCGTTGTGTGGCTGGGAGGTGCAGGATAGTCGCGGGAAAATTTCGAGGCTTCAAACAAAACGCTCGGAAGAAAGGTGGTAAAAACACCTACACGATCCTACACGGACCTGCACCCAAAGCGCACATCTCACATCCCTGGCCACGGCAAACGAAGCGCAGCACAGGGCAGCTAGGATCGCATCATCTCAAAGGTCAGCTTTGCAGAAACCAAGAGTCCCCTTATGGAACACAACCTCAACGATGTCTGACGCTGCCCGCTCTGTGCGAAGAGTTTCGGTGGGCCCAGGCAATGGTCAAGAATGCGGCTTCTTGTATACATCGTCTTGCACTTTGCATAGTTGGAAACGATCCGATCTGTGCCGTGCACCCTGTGACGCCAGGGCACGGACAGCACTGTCCTCGCCACCCAAAACGCTCTTCAAAATCCTAGAGTCTTGGAGAATACGGGCTTCCACCACAGGGAAGGCAAGAACTCAAAGACCCAAAAGCGTAACATGCAGGGGACCCATCTGCACAGGCGGGATCCTCAAGTTGGAGTCCTTCGACCAGGCTTCAAACTCCCTGATCCCTTCGGCCCCTCAGCGCCCGAGCCCTGCAGCATTGCCTCTTGCTTCGGTGCAGCCGCAGCTCCAAGACGGGACCATACTGACCGTGTTCCGAAGCGGGGGCACATGACATGAGAAAGGTTAGACCGAAACAGTTTGTCAAACAGCTCGCGTCTCCTACTTGGGCTTCAAGCACATCTGCAGCAATCCGACACGGCCAGTTGGACGCCTGGCCGATACCTGAACCCACAAACACTGGAGCCTTCAGAGGCTTGACCGGGCTCCGCATGTCCCCGAATGAGTCGCCTTCCTTACCTGACGGCTCAGCCTGATCAGAGGATGATCGGCTTCGTTGATGTCGACCTTGTGTACTACTGCGCTGAGTTGGAAAGCAGTTGATGACTCACAACAAAGGAGCTCCACTTTCCCGACTTGTCTGACGACTTCTCCGACGGTCTTTCAAGCTTGTGCGCTCTCTTCGTTCGCGACCTCGATCCACCTTGCCGGACGCATGCGGAGGGACCCACGCAAGCATGACTCATTCGCCGAGCACGCAGCAAGACACCCTGCCCACCACCACAAGCAAGTCGTCGAAATCCAGGGTGGGTTCGTGGCAAAAGCAACGACGCAGTGAGGGGGTACACATCTGTGCGTCCACGAAGCCGAGCCCGCCCTCTGCCTTTGCAAAGGCCTGAAGCAAGCTTGATCTGCTGACAGGAGGGCGTAGATGCACATGGTCTAGTTCTCGCCAACTGCCAAAATCGAGCACACGGAACGTGGAGCAGTCTTCTTCCCCTTAAGGCTCAGCCGGATCAGAGGACGATCGGCATCGTTGCTGTGGTCCTTGTGTGCTACTGCACTCGATTGGAAAGTGGCTGATGACGCGCCGCGACATAAAACGACGGCTCCGCTTCCCAGAGTTGTCTCAAGGCTTCTGCAACGGCCTTTCCAGCTTCTGCGCCCTCTTCTCGGCCTCGATCGATCTTGCCGCATACATGCGGCAGGGAACATGCAGTCATGACTGAGTCCACACCGACCGCGACATAGTTTCTC